TGGAGACAAAATACATCCTTGATGGACCCCTTTCTTGGTTTTGAACCATCCAGTATCTCCCTACTCTGTTTTGACAACTGCCTCTTGATCCAAGTATAGGTTTTGCATTAGCACAATCAAATGTTCTGGGATTCCCATTCTTCTCAGAGTCAGCCATACCTTATTGTGATCCTTACAGTCAAAAGATAATAAAGGTATGTATGTCAAAGCCACCCACCTGGGATATTTCTATTACATCAGCACTAGAAAAGAAACCCTGAACCATCCACATTCAGATTGGCTTCTCTCAAGCATCTCTGTCTTCTAATCTCTACTTTCTAAATAAGGATTAAAAAGTTGTCATGAAGGCAATTCTGACTTGTGTGTCAGGGATGTTGTTGTTAGGTACCACCAAGTTGACTAGGACTCATAATGACCAACAACAGATGGGAACAATTCCCTGCTCTACACCATTTTCACAATATCTGTCATTCTCAAGCCATTGGGTTATTTACTGTGTCAATTCACATATTTGAGGGTCTTCCTGTCTTAATCCTATAGCTTTACCAGCATGATGTCTCTCTTTACAGATTGAGTTCTCCTGAAAATATGCTCAAAGTAAATGAGCATTCCCTGCTTCTAAGGAATAATCTTGCTGTACTTCCTTGAAAACATTTTGTTGTTGTTATTGTTCTTTTGGCAGCCAAGGGTGTATTGAATATTTTTTGCCAGCACCTCAATTCAAAGGCATTGATTCTTCTTCAGTCTTCTTTATTCATTATTCAACTTTCAAATGCATAGAAAGCATTTGAAAATACCATGATTTACATCAGATACCCTTTAATCCTTAAATGGAAATCCTTGCTCTTTAGAACTTTAGAGAGGTCTTTGATGGCAGATACTCCAATGCAACATGTCTTTTGATATCTAGACTACTGTTACCATGGATATTTATTGTGGAATCAAGCAAAATGAAATAATTGACAAATCCAATCTTTTCTCCATCTGCCATGATATTGCCTATTGTTCTGGTGGTGAGGATTTTTTATGTTCTTGATGTTGAAGTATAACTCGTATTAAAGCCTGCAGTCTTTGAACTTCTTCAGTAAGTGTTTCAAGTGTTCACTTTCAGCAAGCAAGGTTGTGTCATCTGCATGATGCAACTTATTAATGAATCCTTTTCCAATCTTGAAGTCATAGAGTAAAGGTCACACAGAGGTGCCTGAGAGGTGCTTTATAGGGTTTTCAATGGCTGATTCTTTAAAAAAAATTTTTTTCAGATGACTGATCTTTAGAAGTAGATCACCAAGTCTTTCTTTTAAAGTACTCTGGATGGACTAGAACTTCCAATCTTTTGGTTATTAATCCAGCACTTAATGACTTATACCACCCAGGGATATCTCACCTCACTAAAGACTCAAGGCAAACTCACTTTAACTTGAAGGTTGTGATTTAGCTTGCACCAAAAATATAAGTGGTAAGAAGCTGTACTGCAATCCTAAAGATACATTATTCACATCCATTTGCAGCTCTGTGGGAGAAAACTGGACAATCTCCTACCATGCAATTAACTGCTTCTAAAAACCTGCTGGAGGGTTAGCAATGGGTCAGTTCTAACTTGACAGCACACAACAACAATCACTACTTCCAAAATACTCCAAATTTGAACTTGGAACAAAGCCATCCATTAGAGCTTTTTTAATTAGATGGGTTTAAATGAAAGCTTAACTTCATAATCCAAGCCTGATCACAGAATCCCAAACACTGATGTCAATACTTTCTTCTTGTGTGTGACCTCCACACTATGTTAACCTTCACAAAGGGGTATTTGCTTAGATAAAAATTATTCTCTGACCAAGTAAAGCCAACAGTCTTTCAAATTTGCTTATTCCTCAAGATTAATATGATCAAAGTACTCTCTCCTGGCTCCTCAACCAATAAATCCTGGATCTGATTTAATACTGCAAGGTAAGAGGTCAAAGAAAAGATATTTTAGCATAGAAAGTTCATATCTTGAAAACTCCAGTGATCATGATGTTTGAAACATGCTCAAAAGTGTTCAACTTCTCAGCAACTGAGCTGTGTGCCCGATTGTACAGAATCCCACTCACGACCATCAAGTGTATTCCGATTCATAGCAACCATGTGGGACAGAGCAGAACGACCCCAATATGGTTGTTAAAGCTATAAGCCATAAATTTGTTTGTTTTATTGTGATTTTAACAAAAGTTTACAGAACAGTTGGATTTTCATTCATTCATTGTTGCATATTTTCCTCCCCACCAGCCAGCTCACTAAAAGAAACCTTTATTCATTGTTGCATAATTCCTCCCTCCCCTGTCCACTTTGCTATGCACCTCTTGTTCTGTACTCTTGTCATGCAAATAATGCTTAATCACATATTCCTTTAAAACTGTTTAAAGCCATGAATCTTATAGAAACAAATTGCCTGTCTTTCTACAATACAGCAATGTGTGAATTAGAACTTTTTTGCGTACCAGAAGAATGCGTCCACCACCACATCCCTTAATGCATCATCAATGGTATTCAGAGTGGTAGCTGCAGCAATACCCAAAGCTCACTAGAAATCAGTGTTTCGAGCCCTACCCCACAACCACAGACTCAGAAACTCTAAATAAGAAAAAATCCTCATTTGATTGTGTGGGAACTCTGGTGGCCTAGTCAGTAAAGAATTGTGCTGCCAACTCAAAGACAGGAGATTTGAATCCACCTACTGTTCCAAGAAGGATAACAATCTTTTCCTGTGCAATTTACAGCCTCTGAAAACCAGTTATAGGGTCAGCTATGAGTCCATTCTGACCCAGTGACACACAGCAACAATATTTGATAGTGACATGCATCAAAGTTAGCTAACTATTGCATTACACTGATGTTTTCTTAAATACAACTTTTAAGAAAACTAAAGAAAAAAACCTGGAAACCACAAAGTTGTAACTGAAAAAGATTGTTTTGGGTGACATAGGAAAATGAACACCTAACTAACATAAGGTGAGTCAGAGGACGGAGAGATATATCAAAATTGATGCAATGAGTCATTTTGCCATTAAAATGGCTTCCCATTCCCCACTGCACTGTTTCAAATATATCCCTTAAAAAAATAAGTAATGCCTTGATATAATTTTGCTATTTTATCAACAATGTTGCATGTTCATTTCATGAATATACTCACTGACACACAGTTGAAGGTTCTAAGTTTCCTTAGAAATACTATAAAATACATTTCATTCACCAGGAGGATGATTCTCATAAACATGTTCTGTTAGGTCTAAGAGTTTTGCCATTAACTTACACCTGATTCAAGTTTTGTTAGTTTTCATAATGTTGACCTTCATTTTTAATTTCTAGCCCTCTTTTCTTGGAACAGAGTGCATTTGGTGGCAACACAGAGGAATGCAGACATATTTATTCTTTAGGCTTTCTAAGATTGCTTTTTCATGGGCATTTACGGACTAGTAATGCTTCCAGGTGACCTTTACTATGTAGGTTTTGGAGAAAATAATTCAGTAACTGACACTCAGCAACAGAAGATAATATAAACCATCACATTAAAACTAGACTTTATTGCATTTGTTTGTAATTTAGTTTGCTTATTGGCTTATAATCTCACAGTGGGGAAAATATATTATTGCATCAAAGCATTTATAGTTGATTTTATCCCTTTAGGAAATTGTCCACTTCAAATACTATAAAACATTCTTTAATAGGGAAGCAATGTTTTTGAAAGCTTACTAGAATTAGCTCAGTATTTATAAATTATTGAAAACAGTATGAACTTCGTCACAATGTTGGAAACCAAAAACAAAGTTTCAATTAGGAATAAGCTGATCTTTAAATATTTATGCACACAAAACTACATTATAAAATTAATAGGTTATTGAACTAAAATATACATGCATTTTCTAAGGTAAACCAAAAACTTAACTTACAAATAACTCTATAATGCAACAAAAGAAATGAGGTGAAACTGCTAAGTTTATTACAGAAGACTTTTGAGAATCCTTACAAAGTCTTTATATTTTAATATTTTGCTCATATATAGCCAACAGTAAGAGAGAAAGCCAACCTAGGATCAATCCAACATTCTGCAGGAGAAACATCAACCAGGGTCGCCGTGTTTGAACATGAGTCATTTCAGGAAGCTAAAAAAAGAATGAAAAACCAGAATAAGATCCAGATATATTCACTGCTGGGAAAAAGTTTGGTGGGAAAACATGAGATACTCTGTTATTTGGAGCCTAGTAACCTTTAAAATTCCAAAAACAGTTACAAAATGCTATCTACTTTAGCATGATTTTTAAAATGTAAAACAAATTAAGTGACTTGATACTTTTCAAATAACAGCATGATTATAAAGAGTCTGGTGATGCTAAAAAAATCTTTGAAAGATGTAATTATATACTAATAGCAACTTCACAATCCTTTTGATTTCAACAGATGTTTAAATGTGATATTGATAAAAGCATGCAAGGTACTTCCATGTTTTACTGTTCCTCTAGGTTCATGAAGTTTCTATAAATGTACGGGTTATCGCAGAGTATTTTCTTGTTATTTTTCTTTTCAAAGAGATGACCAAGGTCTTTCTGACCTTTATGACAAAAAAAAAACCAAGATCTTCTGTGGCTATTTTTTTATTCTGAGAGATAACCAGTACCCTTTTGAAATGCCATGTCACCATTTAGAGGAAAATGTTCACCATGTGAAGTTCCCCAAAGTGTTTTTATCTCATGATATTTCAAATCCCTCATCCTGTTAAGGTGAGAATAAGTATATATCTTCTAGGACATAGTCATTTCTATGACACTACACTCTCTCGGTCAATACAGATTAGAGAACTTAGTTGTTGCTGTTCTTATGTGCTGTTGAGTCACCTGTGACTCATAGTGACCCTATGTACAACATTTCTGAAGCCTGCCCTGTCCTGATCCAGTCTCATGGATTCCAATACACCTACCCCTATTGCTTCAATTTACACTCTTGACATCAGCAGTCAGGAAATCGAAAGACTAATTACACTAGGAAAATATGCTGTCAGGGACTTCTTCAGAGTACTGAGAAGCACCAAAGTCAGTCTAGAGATGAAGGTGCACCTGACCCAAGCCATCATCTTAACAATTACTTGCTATGCGTCAGAGAACTTGACAATGACTAAGGATGACAGAAGAAGAATAGATGCCTTTGAGTTGTGGCTGGAGAAGTGGCAGTTGGACATACCATGGACCGCCAAGAAAACAAATAAGTCTGTCTTTGAGAGGGTGAAACTGAGTTTCTCCTTGGAGGCTAGGATTTGGAAGCTCAGTTTCATCTTTTGATTTCCTGACTGCTGGTGTTAAGAGTAGTGATTGCGGAGCTGAGCAAGCAGAAAACATTAACAACCTCAATCTCCTCTCCATCTATCATAATACTGCCAATTAGCCCAGTGGTGAGAATTTCTGTCTTCTTGATATTGAGCTTCAATTCATACTGAAGACTACAACTCTTGGTCTTCTGCAGCAAGCACTTCAGGTCCTCCTCAGTTTCACCAAGCAAGGTCATGTCATCTCCGTAACATAGGTTGCTGATGAATCTTTCTCCAGTTCTGATGCCACATTCTTCCTCATAAAGCCCAATCTCCCAAATGATCTGTTCGCCTTATAGACTGAAAAGGTTTGGAGACAAGACACATCCCTGACCCACTCTTTTCCTGATTTTGAACCATGTAATACTTCCTTTCTGTTTTCTGAGTACTACTTCCTGGTCTGAGTATAGGTTTCTCATGAGCACAATCAAGTCTTCTCTGATCCCCATTCTCCTGAAGGTTAGCCACAACTTGTGCTCCACACAATCAAAACCTTTGCTTAGTCATTGAAACACAGATAGACATTCCTCTGGTACTCTGCTTTCTCCCAAGATTAGAGAACTAGCTCCTCTATTTCTAGTAGTTTATTTGAGAGTTTCTCAACCTCAAAATCATTGATATTTGGACTACATAAATATTTACTGGGGAAGAGAGACTCCATGTAGAATTTTTTTTTTAGCATTCCTAGCCTATTAGATCCTAGTAGCACTTCTAACTTTACCTTACAGCTGTTCTCTAGTTGTGATACTTGGAAATGTTCCCAAACACTGCCAGAGATTCAGCCAAGGTAGAGGATACAATAGCTCCACCAGGGAACATTTGGATTATTTAATCTAGTAAGAAATGTAGAACATACAGAATATACTAGGCTTTTCAAGTTATGTAGTCCCTGGATGGCCTACTGAGTAACATGTTGTACTGTGAAGTCAAAGGCAGCTGCTTTCCTGGAGAAAGATGAACAATCTTCTTGCATGCAATTTACAATCTTGGAATCCTACTTGAGGATCATCTGTGAGTCAATATCAACTCAATGGCAATGAGATAAGTTGTTGAGAGCCTGGATGGTAGAAATAGCTATCTAGTTCACCTATGAGAACTTTAATAGGTCAGTGTTCAAGTTAACCCAGAGGTACCATAGAATAAAAATAATATCTCCTTACAAAAAAGAAAAAAAATCAGTCAATGAACAACTTGTGAGCACAGTTCTCTGGCACATATGGAGTTACCATGAGTCAGAATAGACTCAGAGGCAACTGCTAACAATCATAATTAAATTTATGGCAACAGAAAACAGATTGACATACTTTTAATTATCCTTATAGGAGCTTACTGAGTATTTTATTTTGTTGTCCTGGACATAAATATTTCCTCTCTTTAATGAACTAAATCCATGGAATGAACATTTGGAGTATTTTTTTCAACCACTCAACACCTTATCACAAAACAATGACACTAGAAACTAGAACTAGTGTCCTGGATGGATGATCTTCACATCAAGTCCTGCTGTGTTGGTTTTTTTGTTTGGTTTTGGTTTTGGTTTTTTCCATGTTTAAATATTAAGTTCACCATGATACTTTAGACAAAGCCTTTGATTCATTTATCATTATATATTTAAAATCTCATTTTGAGAATCCATAGAATTTGGATAAAACATAGCCATATGTTTCAAATTTTAAAGTAAAATGGCTTAGTCAAAGGAAATCTAAACATGTAATTAAATGTTAAGTATAGTCATTGCTATCATTTTGTGCTGTCAAGTCACCTGCAACCCATAGTGACCCAATGAACAGCAGTGCTGAACCCTGCCCTGTTCTGAGCCAATCTCATTGACTCTGACACATCAACCCTCATTGCCCCAATTACTGTTTCAATCCATCTAATCCGGGGTCTTCCTCTTCTGTCCTGTCCCTCCACCCTTCCGAGCATGGTGTCCTTCTCCAAGAAATGGCCTTTCCTGGCCATGTGCCCAAAGCATGTGCAAAAGAGCTTCAAAATCCTAGCCTTCAAGGAGAGACTTAGTTTCACCCTCTCCAGGACTGACTTATTTCTTTTCTTTGTTGTCCATGGCATGTTAGAGACTGTTATTCAGCACCACAAGTTAAAGGCATTGATTGTTCTTCTGTAATCCTTAAATACTACAACCATACCAGATCTAGAAGTAACATATCCTGACCTTGGAAATTAATACATTGTAATGTCAATGTGGTGAAAAAGGAAAAACATAGACACTACTAACTCCTAAAACTTAGCAGAAGCTCAGTGGTAAGGACTTTTTCTCAGTACTGCCTTAGACAAAAACCTTTCCCTGAAGCTGCTGCATGGGCTTTGGATTTACATCCTCCTAAACACAAGACAGGCAACAGCATGAGACCTGTAGCAGTATGTGGTGAAAGATATTACAGAAGTGACTTTTGGACTAAGCTATCATATCAAGGGATGGCTGGATCAGGTAGCTGGGAGTGCAAGGAATGATGCTATAGCAGGGAAAGGAAAGAGAAAAGACACACATTCTTGAGAGTGAGAGTGTGGGGGTGTGATAGCAAGTGTATTGTTTATTTCTATAAGAGAAATGTCTTTCATCTACTCAGTAAAATGTTAGTATATCAAATATTGTTCTAAAACTAAGCATTCAAATTAACACAGACTAGGAAGAAGGATTGGCCATCCACTACTGAAATATAATTGGCCTTCAAAAACCCTTTGTGCAATAGAGCACACTTAGAGTAGGCTAACAACTGTGGCAACTGTGGCTGAGCCCTCAAATATGGAAATACAAAGGAGGAGGAACTAATAAGCAGAAACTAATGTTTGGAATGGTGGAATATGAGAAGTGTGAATGTAGGAAAACTGGACATTGCTAGGAAAGGAACATAATTATAGCAAGTTGAAAAATAGTTAGCAATGCATTTGTGATAAACTCTTTCCATTTAATACGTATACTTCTCCATTCCTGGAAGCTTTTATAAACATATATTCAGTTTTATCACGTATGAGAGACAGTAAGCAAATAATAAACCTATAAGTTAGGTGAAAAAACGAATACATTGAAAAACTATTTTATAAAATTGTACTACTATTGGATTTTGATCAGGACTAAAACTACGTTATCATAATACTAATTCTAGTTCAGTATTTTAAAATTCAAAATGTGAACTTATTAATTCTCTTTTATCCAGGGACTAACTTTTCCCAAACCAGAGACTCAAGCTGAAGTTTGAGGCAAAAGTAGAAATCATAAAACAAGCTTTCTGATGACTTAAAAATATATTTCGAATATCATCTATTGAGTTAGAATTTTTACAAAAACATATGTTTTGTTTTGTCTGAAACGTTTTTCTTCACAAGAATCCACATAAAACTATAATGAAGGTCAATTTTTTTATAGAAACTACTTTTAAATTTTTTTAAAAATAAGACAGAATGGCAGCCCTGATGGAATGTTAGCAAGAGGCACAGCAAGACAGACAGCTAGAGTTTGAGTGAGAGAAGTAAAAAACAACTGTCGGCACAGGCCAGGGAGCTGAGGCCACACATGTGCCAGGGAGCTGCTTCCTGATGCCACGCTCATGCTGGAGAGTTGCTGGCTGACACCATACGCTCACTGGGGAGCAGGAGCAGCTTGTTGATACCACGCACGTGCCTGAGAGCTGCTTCCTGATGCTATGCATGTGGCAGGGAGCTGCTCCCTGATGCCATGCATGTACCAGGGAGCTGCTGAGGCATGTGCCAGGAAGCAACATGCGGGGGCAAGCAAGAAAGCTGGAAACTGAGTGAGTGTGATCCCAGAACTCCAGTCCCATCATC